ACTTTTATCTCCTCATATAACTTTTTAAACTTTCTAGGTAAAAATTTTGCACAACTATTTACATTAACTAGGATGCTAATCATTAATTGGTTTCAGTATTTAATGATTTTTATTTAAAAATAACTAATAACAAGGAATTCGAATGTATGAATTTACTAAAAATTCTTATTAATTATTACTTAAGTTACCGAATTGCATTTTAAGTTTTTTTTTTTTTTTTAATTTCCAATGTCGTAGGAAAAGAGCAAAGTCTTTCAAAATAACAAGGAACATGAATTATAAAATTTCTTAAGCAGATGTCGAAAATATTTCAAAAATATACAATAAAAAGTGATAATTGGTGTAAGTAATTAATAATTTAATAGTTTTTAATTAAAATAACTAATAATAATGAATTAGAATACATAAAATTACTAAAAATTTTAATTAATTATTATTTAAGTTATCGAATTGCACTTTAATTTTTTTGATATTTCCAATGGCGCAGGAAAAGATCAAACTTCTGACGAAATAACAAGAGAAATGAATAATAAAATTTGATCAGCAGATATCTAGCACTCCAATATATTTCTAAAATCTAGTCAAGAAAAGAAAAAAAAACCTGTATGAATACTATTTATAAATAAAAGATATTGTGATAAAAACTGAGAAACATAAAATATTTGGAAATTTTGTGATAAGAAGTGGAGAAAAAGCATAGTATTTTTTGGTCAGTCAAGCGCAAGAAAATTCAACAATTTTTTTTGTATTTTATTCATTTTTTATTTGTTTAAAAATAAATAAAATAAAAATAAATAAATAAAAGTTGGTGGAGGTCTATATTTTTTGGCGTTTTTTCGCTAAACGAAAAGTAGCAAAAACATTTATTGGTTATAGGAACCATGAAGCCGTATTTGCCAACAAAGAGAAAAAAATCTAAATTCTGGTTATTCAAACACTGGCTACCGATAATATACGCATGTATATAAAATGCGACAGCATTACAATCATTAATGATAACAACACGTATCGAAATACGATAATATCGCGGCCATTTCTCATTACTATATCGAATACAATATTATGATCATTAATATCATATCAAAATTTTGTGAACATTATGCATTACGATAATTATTATGAGGCTTGAAAAATTTTACAATCATTAATGATAACAATACGTATCGAAATACGATAATATCGCCGTCATTTCTCATTACTATATCGAATACAATATTATGATCATTAATATCATATCAAAATTTTGTGAGCATTATGCATTACGATGATTATTATGAGGCTTGAAGAATTTTACAATCATTAATGATAACAATACGTATCGAAATACGATAATATCGCCGTCATTTCTCATTACTATATCGAATACAATATTATGATCATTAATATCATATCAAAATTTTGTGAACATTATGCATTACAATAATTATTATGAGGCTTGAAAAATTTTATTTTTGTAACGAAAATGTTGGAAAATTGGTTGGGGAGCACTGATTTAAAATAAAAGGATTATACATTCCCAGAAAGCAAGAAACCTTGTGGCAACCTTGTCACAGAATTACCTTTTTATTGTCATGAAAATGTCTGTACTAAAAACCTTTTTTTCAATAAAGCAAAAATATTGCACTTTCGAGCCTTTCATCCTTTTTTTAAATCTTTTTTCAAAAAGTATAATGACGTTAGCACCATAATGACGTTTTCGCTGACGTCACACAAGCGATAGGATCCAAGTGCATGGTTCATTAAAATTTCATGACAAGGTGGATTTTAGCTGAGTATGCAAGACTTTGCAGGAAAAAAACCTTATACTTACCTAGATTTCAGATTATTTTCACCTTGAGACTAGCTTTATTAAAGAATTTTTTTCACGCTTGAAAACCCTATGTAAACCTCGATTTAAGGTTTCTATACAGAAGGTTACTTTCCAAGGTTTTGGATTAGGGTAATGTGCGAAGAATAGAGCAGATTGTCACAGATCTTGTTTTAAGGTTAGAAGCTGGCTGGTTGGTTCTATTGCCGTTTGCCACACGGGCAAGCCTGCTTGGTGAAACTGAGCAAATTTAAGGCAGAGTGCGCGATTCTTTTTTTTCAGTGGCGCCATCTATGGCCAAGAATTTGACTTCTGCCACACCATACGTCACACCTGTTTGTAAGGCGGACATCCATTCATTCATCCACAGATCGTAATTTTAACCTGAATCAGAGAACGATCGATCTCCAATCCAGTACCCCCAGAGGAATTGATTTGTTATGGGAACATGGAGGACTTTGCGACTCGACAGAATTTTAACGTGCATCAGTGACCAACTACACTGGGAGTCTTCGGCTGCTGGGGTTCGAACCCACGAACTCTCGGACATGGGCCCAGCGCTCTACCGACCTGACTATCACGGCCTTAGGTTAGAAGTTTTACACGTAAACCGTATTGCAAACCTTTTCAGGTTTTACATTAAAAGATTTTTGTAGAGTGAAAATAAACCTTAATTTGTTATCTGGGATTAGAGTTAAGATGAGTTCCAGGGCCAGTTCTTTTAAATTAAACAAATGTAAAAAATTTTATTTGGTATCAGTTACTAAAAATATACAAACAAAAAAATTGGTAAAAATAAAAAGTTTATTAATCCATAAATTAGAATTCTCAATAATATATTTTATTATATTGTTCTATGTAAAAAAATATATTCAAAATAATACATACCTTTGTTTACCTCGAAATATGGCCGTTAAACTATTCTTCCAATGTCTCAATAAACTTAATGTGTTCAATTTTGTACCACATTTCCACCGATATTGCCATATTTCCACCGTCTAATTCAGCTGCTCTAGCAACAATAAATTCGTTTATCACCATTAAACTATTATTGCTAAGTGTAAAAACTACTATTTAAATTTCTTAACATTGGTAAACAGTGTAATATTGTGCAAATGAGTAAAGTTTTTTTAGAAGTTTTCATTTTAAGATTTAAAACGATTTACATAAAAACCACTTTTTTATGGTACCTTTTTGTTAGCCGGGCGCAAGTGAACAGTCGCCAAAAAATTTAGACCTTCGTCAACTTCTTTCATTATATATTTTTTTTCTATTTTTAAACACATAAAAACTAAATGAAGTAATGAAACTAGATAAAATAAGAAATATATTGTTGAATTTCCCTGTGCCCGGCTAACCAAAAAGTATCTTTTTAAGCAGTAAAACTCTTAAAACAATAAGAAATATATTTATTATTTTTAAATGCATATAATGATACAGTTGACTCTTTAGAAAATATTTTAAAAAAATTTCTCCGTGCCTCATTCAGTTTTTTGACACAAATATTTTTTACTCCTTTCCGTTTTCCTCTTTCATTCCTAGAAATGTGTCCTTCAATAACATAAATACATCAGTGGCGAGCCGTGATGGCTCAGGAGATAGAGCGTTCGCCTTCCTATGAGGTGAACCGGGTTCGAATCCCAGCGCTGGCTGGTCGAAGTGAATTCCGCATCCAGCTTGTACTGACCTCAGTGGCGATGTAAAATATCCTCAGTGGTAGATGGATCATGGGTTAGAGTCCCCTTTTCGACCGGCTAACAGTGGAAGGTTTTCATGGTTTTCCTCTCCATGTAACGCAAATGTCAGTTATTTCCATCAAAGAGTCTCCGCGAAGGCAAATTTCTACCAATACTTGATCCATTAGTTCCCTTGTCGTCTGGATTGGGTTCAAAATTATAAGGCTACGGAGGTAAGCATTAGTAGTCCTAAACACAAAAAATTGGGTTGGCTGTTCAACGACGGATATAAAAGAAATACACAAGTGGCATCGACTTTCTATACTTCTAGTTATAATGTTGGGAGTAAAATGGGGATCGGAGAACCAACATGCAGTTACCCTTGTTCCAGAACATGCAACGGCTGTGGAGAAAGACTTAGAAGATCAACTTGTCTGACAAGGTAGTCCCAAACAAAGTCTCCATTTGCGTTAGGTATGAAGATATGGCTGACTAATCTCTCCTGTGATTATCTTCCCATTCCTGAAAATCTTTGGCCTGGTGAGATTTATGTGGTCGAACGTTTTCATCCTTTGATAATATTAAAAAACCAATTGAACCCCTAGAAAAGCAAACATAAGTCTTTAAAAACAGATCTCTATAATTAAATCAGTAACATTACCTCGTTTAAAAACAATGAGTGATTTTGCGGATATCTAGAATGATGCTTTTTTTTACCATCAAGCTTTCACTTCCCTAATAATCAATGTCTCGAACAATAGTGGGCAGATAGCTTGTCCTGGTTGGTACTTTAATATGGAGAGAACCAAAGGATCTTTTACTTTCCCTCAACTATCAGAAAAATTAATCTCTATGGAAACTGAAGTTTGATCGTCAAATAAGTCCTTACGTTGAATGGTTGTTCGACCCCCATGTCACTGAAAGAGGCGTTGCTACTAGTTTGGTTATGGATATGTTTTTGGAGACCTGCGTTTGCTATTCGAAGAATTCAATTTGCTATTTATAAATGAATTAATGAATTTTTACTTATAAATTTATTTTTGGATTATTAGAAAATAAGCACTTCTTTGTTATGTTTGTATTTTTTTGATATTCATAAAAGCAAAAATACTAATTATATAAATAAAATAGTAATAAAATAAATAAATAAATAAAAGTTTTTATGCTTACAATTTACTAAGCCTATAGAAATTATTTGACACATATTGCCATACAACTGAGCAGAGGTGGAGAGGGAAGGGGGAGGGTTAAAACATGAAACTGGATCAAGATGTATCTAATAGAATGTCTCTTTGAAGTCGAAAGATAATTATTTTAAGATAAGGAGTCGTTTATTATGTTACCTTTCTTACCACTGATACTGGTAACACGAATTTTTGACTTGCGATACTGGTTGAACGCATGTGCATGACAAAACGCACATGATAATACTTATGCGCAAGGGACTGCAATGCAAGTCAAAATGTAGTCAAAGCAATTTTTCAGTCACTCGGCCACAGCAGTTGATGGCAGATAAAATTGAAACATCCACATAATGGCAACAGCTACTTCATGTGTTTGTTTTTGTTTCAAATTCCGAAGCGTTCCGTTCGGCTCTCTGAAAGAGAAGCTTACTAAAATGATTTAAAGCGCTTAATTATAACATTCTTGGTCGAAACGATGTAATATTTGTTTTGCGTGACATGTCTAATTTAGCAAAAGAAATGTTGAAAGGCAAGCTTCCTCCTCTTTATTCTGGAAATACTGGGTATTTATAATACAAGTTATTCCTGATATATTTTCCTGTGCTTATTTCTTAAGAATCAATCCAAGATGATTGTATAATGGGGCTAAATAAAGCAATGTTGTAATAATTAATAATTAAATATTAATTTACCTGAAATTTTATTTTCAGATTTTAATTCCGGATATTTTCTTAATTTTTTCTGGATGTTTATGCTTTTAGATTTTATAAAAATTTTATAGAAATCTTATTGTAGTCACCAATGTCAAATATTTTGCTTGTAGCTATTTACCTGGATTCTGTGATTTACTTTTTTTAAAATTTCTTTCAATAAATTAACAACTTACTCCATCTTTGGTTCTTTTAATATACAGTATACTCTCGATAGCTCGAAAACCTTGTTATGTCAAAAAAATATTTTTCCCCTTGATGTTATATATTTACTTAATTTTAATTTAAATCTTTATGTCAAAGACTTTCTTATCAAAACCTGGGAGATTTCCGTATCGTGATCTGTGGCAGAATAATCGCCAAGTCTGGGCATCTTCCGGGCAGTCTAATCTTCCGAGAGAAACTTAAAAAAAAAAACACATCGCAGAAAGGGATCAACTTGAAAGATATAACTCGTAGCCTCCCCCGGGCAAATATCTAACGTTTTTTTTTTTTTTTTGTTAAAATTTGCAAGCTATTTGGCACCTTGGCGATTATATTTGGCGCGACAGATCAGGATAAGGAAATATCCCCACAAATTTTTTTTCCACTTAATACATAAGTGTGTCTTGCTTCTAAAAATAAAATTTTCATGTTGTATTTAGACCCATAGTCAACTATCATCACTTATATATTTATCAGTAGTTATTCTTATGTTTCATGACTGTACTTTTTAGAGTAATATTTTAGAATGTATTTTTCTACATTTTAGAACATATGAACTTGTTATCTCAAAATCTCGCACTTTCGAAATTTTATTAGTGTCCCTTCAACTTTGAGAACCGCAGTGGACTGAATGAAAAGACACGGTTCCCAGTAAAACACCGAAGTCAAGCATCAGTAAGTGGGTGGGTGATCAGCCTGCATAGGGATCAAGGGTGTACGGTATTGGTCCTTGTTAAAATTTTCAACCGTAAAGTGCTCAACTTTGTGCAGTGGCCGTCAGGCTACCAAAGCAGGGAAGCCATCCCCTCTGCAAAGGATCGAAATTGCGATGACATGTCTTAGGATCATCCTCAGGCATGTTTCCCACACCATGGTTAATAGCCCATTGTGCAGCTCTTGTGTGGCCTAAATAAAGTACCTACCTGCCTCAATTTTATGATTTTGAGAGTATACTCAGGGGTCTGTTAAGAAGAAATTTGGGTACGTTAATGAACCCTTCACAAAATATCTTTTCATAAAAGCCGACCCTTCACAAAATATTTTAACTTAAAAACAGACCCTTCACAAAATAATTTATCTTTTAAATCGGACTCTTCACAAATTTGTTTACCTTCATTATTGTTTTGTTAATGGAATAAACCCTTCCCAGGAAAGGGGGTTGAGAAAGACAGATGTAAACGAACTAAGTTTTGTCTTCGGCAGACATTTCTTCCTTTATTCGTCAGAAATGAATATTCCACATTCAGCAGTATAAGCTAAATACCAATTATTTGTATGTTGCATCTCTAATTTAATAGCGTTAATTGTTGTTTATTTTTTAAAATTTAATTTTTTTTTAATTATAATTTTACAGTGTTGAGCATAATCTTATATGTCTTTACAATTTAAAAACTCCTTGAAAAAGTTTTTTGCAATAACAGGACCCTGGTTGAAAGAATGTGACTTAATGTTAATTTTATATTCACAAATTACGAGTAATTTTTTTACAATTTTACAACAACGTACCTTTCAAAAAATGTCTGGACAGACCCCTGATACTATTGTAGAATTTTATTTTCCTTATACAATAACTTAAGATTATTTGTTATTCTGAATAGCTTCATAGATACTCAGATTTTGCAATGGCTCACTGATTCTGTTATCAGTGCCTCTAACTACAAATCCGTTTTCTTGAATTTATCTTTAATATCAAGGCATTCCTTTGCATTCATTTTTTCTCCAAAAAATGGTATTAAATGCCTTTGGATTTATAAGACTAAATTGCTTTGATGAAAATTGTGTTAATTGGTGACAAAAATGTTAAACAAATTATTTAAACCAATGTTACTTTTGACGTTTCTACAAAATTAAATGTGAATTATCTTCAATTCTTTTAAAATAACAAAAGATTCACAACCTCTGGACTCTTATCTTAGGTGGTTCAAGACATTTTGACTAATGGTCCGAGAACATGGATTACTTGACATTAGATATGATACTTATGACATATTTCGTGAAACATTTAGTGAACTTGTGATATATTTTGTGAAATTAAGTTATTTCGAATGATTTATGTGTTTTTTTGAAAAAATTTTTAAGACTTATCAGCTTTCTAGACCCTATGTTATTGAACATTAAATGGCTTTTAATCATCAAATTATTCTTCAGTTCTATTTTATTTTCAACATATTTTAAGTGGAACTTATTTTTATTTGAAAAATCTACCATCTGAAAAATCAGCTGTGATAAATAATTATTTTTCCATTAACTTTTTTTAAATCTTGTATTTACATTATTTAATCAACATCTTCAAAATGAATATTGTAATTCTTTCTCCTGGGCACCGATTGTCGAGATACCTGTTTCTTTTCTTTCTTTTTCTCAGCCATTGAGCCAAACTCTGCTTAATTATAGTATTTAAAGTTATGATAATTTAAGATGACAAGTTAGCATTTATATATTTTTTTCATAAAATTATAATATTAATTCTAATTAAAATGCTATTGTTTTCATAATTGTTAATCTTTTATGTTTTAAATTAAATTCTCTTAGACTATTTCTCTTAGATTATTTTTATTGATGTAAAGAAATTTTTTTTCAATTAATTTTGCTTCAAATGATATGAATTTTTTTAAAACATTTCTTTTTATCTTTTCAGCCTTGCTGCCAGAAAAATAAATCGACGTAGAGATTACACCCCTGTTTCTTGGGACAAATATTTTGATACTTATCGAGATGTGAAAGTTTCTGATGGAAGTGTATCCTTTATTAATAATTATTTACTCTTTTTTAATTAATAGTGTTATTATTTAATAAATTTTTATATTTTTAATTGCTGTATTTGCAAATTGTAGCTTTTCTTAGAAATTCTATATAATAATCGAAAGTTTTATAGGAAAAATTTTGGTACTATTAAGAGTGTAATTTGTTATATATATATATATANATATATATATAACTGTATAAAATGCATCACAAATTGTTCATTTTGTATTACACAAACAATAAGACCAATGCAAATATTTTTTTTTAAAGATTTGAGTTGTGGATAAAAAATTTCTCTTATAGTTTTGTACATAATATAAACTCAAATTTGTACATCAATAGTCATTTTCATCTGTACCTTGCATTATGTACTTCATTCATATGTATAATAAATGTTTTTTGTTTATCAATAGAAATCAGGCTTTAATACAGGGTATAGGGAAGCCTGAAAATGTTACGGATTTCGATTTTGTGGGGAAAAGTAAGTAATATGCTATTTTTGGACAGAAGCTGTAAAACTCTTACCACAAACCTGAGGAAAAAACAATTTTAAAATTCACAGTAACATGAAGTTTGGAAAAGAAATTATTTGTTTGATAATTTCTTGTTTAATTTTTTTTTAAATATAGCCATATTTACAGTTCATTAATCAGAGGACTGTCTAGATTTTTCTGTAAGGTACCTATTTTGTGAAAATTTAGACATAATTTGTCAAAATAAAAAATTATAATAAAAAATTAACTCATAAATGTGGTAAAAATATGGATTTATTATTTCTGACGGGATACAAAAATAAAATTTTAAGAAAAAGTATTTTGTGAAACTACCGTTTTTCCTAAAGTTGAATTTGTGAAGGTACCACTAAACGGTAGTAAATTTGGCCTGGACAGACCCCTGTTAATATTATGCTTTTAAATTTGTATAAATTAATTGTAACACTTTATCACCAGATATGTTTAAAATATATGAGCGTTTGAATCTTGCTGTCAAAATCGTTTTTACCATTGAGGAGAATTTTTAGTGTTACTCAGTAAAGAAAAAAAGAAACTGTCATAATTCTCCTATTCTAATGCATAAACCAATCAGTCGAAGATTGATAAGGGAATTTTTTTCTCTGCTTTGCAGAACCACACTTTTTCATGTGATTACGTCGTTGCATTCGATTTTCTAGCATCCTCGTATCAAGGATAAGTTTTTTTTTCTTCTTTTATCCAATTTAATGAAAAGTAGTCATATTTATGCTTTTTCCTACCTTTGCAAATGTGATTTGAGCAAATGCCAAATGAGTCAATTGCTTGCAGAAATTTTTTCAATTGAGATTTTGTGTTCGCAGAAATTTTTTCATTTTATCTAAATTTGTTTATCACAAGTAAGATATATCATAGCTTTTTATATGACTAGCATTAATTTGTTATGGTTTCCTAAAAATGTACCAAACAAAATTTACTTACAGAATTTTCCAAGTAGTTTTGTAGTGTAAAACTGCTATTGAACTTAAAAAAATGTATCTGCAATGCTTGAAAACTAGAGCATTTATTAATGTTACTATGAACTTTTGATGATTTATTTTATAATGGTTGTTGTTCTTCCTAAACTTATTTAGATTTTTAGAGTTTATTTAAAGGGTACCTCGGGTCCTCTTCTTCTGTTTCTACATGGTGGCGGATATAGTGGTCTTTCATGGTCATTGTTATCTGTGCGTATGAATTAATTATAAACCTTATTCAGTGAAACTTTTATAACTGAAAGTACTATTAGTATCCAAATGTGCTTTGGGTTACAAAAAGTTGTAGAAATAAGAAATTAAATTATTTTTAATATGACATTTAGGAAAAATACTTCTAAACAGCCAAAAACGTAAATATTTCCTTTAAAAAAGTGCTATTTCTTAGGATAGTTCATACAAGGAAAACATTTTGAAAAATAGCTTAATCTTCTTAGATTTGTTTTGAAAAAGTAAAAAAATTCTGAAATACCAAATAAATTCTTTCAAAATAAATTTTATGTGTTTTATTGTTTTAGTCATATTTTTTTAAATGTATTTTTGTTTACGTCAATGTGACTTCATTTTTAATAGACTAATCATTGCTATGGGAACAAAATTTATTTTCAAGTTTGAGTTAAATTTTTGAAACAGCTTAACATTACATATGAAAGGGGTGTGATAACAATAGAAAATACAAAAAAATTAAGATAAATTGCTCTATTAAGTTTTTTGTCTTTCTATTTCCAGAGCTTTGTGGATTGCTTGTTATTGCTTCTAATATTTTTCCAGTTGTAAAGTTTTTTTTAATACTTAAAATTAGTATTTGGAAGATGAAAATAACTTTGGATTACCAGAAACACTATCATATTAAAATTTGAGTAATTAAAAAAAGTGCAATGTTAATTTCACTATTTACGGTTGAGATTTTATCTCTCTATATATTGAGGTCAGGGTTGGAGTTTTTGCCGGCAAAAAGGGGTTCTTGCCAGGACAGTGGCAAAAACCTGGTAAAAACCGGCAAAAACTGGTAAAAACCGGAAAACCAAATTATCTAAATTGCTGATTAAATATTATTACAAAATAATTTAAACAAGTTTAAATCAATCATAAGGAATAATAATTTTGATACATTACATAAAAAAATTATTTTTAACATATTAATAATTAATATAAGGGTAATAATTTTTAAAAGATTGAAAGTTTTTGATCTCCTTTCATTTTAGAATCCTAAAATATGTTTTTTTACAAATAAATATTATTATTTGTATAATATTATTATTTATTATAAAAAATTATTATTTGTACAATAATTAACTACACATGTTGATAGATATTTTATGCTTTAAATTATAGTTATATTAATTTAAAATAAGTTCATTTCACTGGAAAAAAGAGAATAATCACAAATTTTCCAATCAATAATGTTTTAAACTACTAAAATGATATATTATTACATTATCATTTAATTATGGAATAATAATTTTGTTGATTTTTTTGTAACTATTTATATTCATAAAATATATTTCAATTTTAGGAATAATTTTGTATCAAAAATGTGTTTTTGTCCTCTCATCTTGGAAAATATAGGTTTTTGCCACTTTTTGCCAATTTGCTTGGCAAAAACCTGTTTTTGCCAGGACGGTTTTTACCAGTACAGTAGGGAACCGATTATCCGGAACGATCGGGACCATCGCTATTCCGGATGACTGATTTTTCCGGTTTTCTGAATCGCTACAAAAAGCCGTTTTTTTAATGTTAAACCCAACTAAAAAAAATTTTTTTTTGGAAATAATCTTAGAAAGAAGAAAAAACGATGGAGTAATACACTAATGATTATTTCCAAAATGATGGTAAGGTAAACATCTTTCAAAAAAGAACGAAAAATCCTAAAATCTTATGAGGAAAAAAATTTTCTTTTTAAAAAATGGCGGGAAAATTTATCGAATTTCGTTCCGGTTTTTTGGTTCTCCGGTTTTCTGATTTCCGGATAACGGGTTCTGTACTGTATTTACCATGGTTTTTTACCACCTGCGACAAAATCTTGCCAACCCTGAAACTTCTTTGAGTTATAATTGCTTTGGTTATCAAAGTTAGACTGTACAATGATATTTTATGTATAGTGTATTTTTACGTTCATGTTATTGTTTTTATATTTCACTGTTTTAGACGAGCATCAGTCAATTTGTTGAATGTCAGGTCGCTGCTTTAGATTGTAGAGGGCATGGTAATAATAATTCATTCATTTATTTTAATTCTCATAATTTATTATCATTGTATGATTTCATATTTATTTGAATTCATTTTTCCTTGTAAAAATTCTACTGTACAAACAATTCAATGTTTTTGTGTCATTTTGTGTAGAAAAATAAATAAAATTTACCAACGGATTGAGGTGTGACATGCTTATGCTGTTAAGACATTCATTAAAAAATCAAAAAGAAACTCAATGAATTCTTTCAGAGATGCTACCGCAGATAATTTGCTATGATAGCAGATGACTTTTAGAGGGTGCATCAAAGGATGATAAGGATCTAAAAGAAGTTATTTTTGAATAATAAAGACTTAAATTAATTTTTTTCCAGTTTGAAAACTCTTTGCTTTTAATTTGCTTATGTGGATTTAAAGTAATTAAAGCTAATCATTCACACTTGATAAAATTTTATCAAGAAATTCAAAATTTCAAATTTCATTTTCATTTCAAATTTCATTTCAATTTTCAAAATTTTATCAATTTATTGCTGAATCTTGTAGATCTTTATTTTTACTATACCATTCAAAAGAATTGTGTATTTTTATTTGTATGTTGCCATCATTGCCTGAAACTTTTACAGTGTTTAATAAATTTTAAACTAAGAATTTTTTAAATTTTTTATATAATTTTTTTTTCAATTTTAAATGTATTATTGGTGATTCAATAAACTGTTTTAACATCTGATTCATATCAGATTTGCAGTACTAAAAAGTAATCATCACTGAATTATATCATATTATTCCACAAAAATGTGTATTTTTATTTGTAGATTGACTTTAAAGCCAATAACTTTACCAGTAATTATAAAAGTTTAATTAATAGTCTTAAATTTTTTCATTTATTTATTTTTTATTTATAATTTTTCATTTACTGATACAATGAAGCATTTCGTTAAACCAGCCCTGTATTTATTTTATTTCTACTTCTTCAGGACAATTATTAAATTATAATTTTAATTTATTGCAAATTAGTCTACACTACATTTTTGATATATGAATGTTATTATGCAGCTGAAATAAATTTTTTTTTTTCTTCATTTGTTTGACTCTTTTTGTCAATTTTTAATGTTGAAAAGTACAGGCTGATTGTGCTCCGAAAAAGATCCCGATTTCCGGAATTTTCGCTAACAGTGATCCGGAAGTTTCCGGAGATCGAAGGTCCAGATGTTTCAAAAAATCATTTATCACAGAAGTTTCCGGAAATCAAATTTTCAAAGGTGGAACTTAAAAACACAGTTTATTTTTTTGTTTGTAAGGGAGAGCCAGAGAGATACTTTATGACCTTATATTCATGATTAATATTCATTTTTTATCAGTAAATAGTTGTTATAATCATAAACTCAAGAAAGAAAGACATTTGTAAATTTTGATTATTTCTCCCGATCATCATAGGTATGTGTAAAATTTTAAATATATTTTAAGTAAACTAAGAAATATTGAGAAAAAGGAAAAAAAAACCTTGTTAAAGTATTTTTCAATTTAAACTGTTTTTTTCTTTTTAAACTCAAGAAATTTTCCGGAATTTTGACTTGGGCTCACAATCACCCCTGAAAGTAAAATTATAGCAAGGAAAAAGATTTACCAAATTTATGGTACATTTTTCCTTTTTTAGGAGAAACTCATTCTACTAATGAAGACGATTTGTCTGCTGAAAGATTATCAAGGTATGGAGATGTATCATTTAAATATTATAAAAAGTATTCAAATTATTTTTACTTATCTTGTAAAAATACTTATTTTCTATTTTCTTTCAGTGACGTGGGTGAAGTATTTAATACACTTTATGGTGATGAAGAACAACCCAATGTGATATTAATTGGACATAGGTCAGTAATTTTAATTATTCAGTTCAAGAATTCCAATAAGAAATTTTATTTTAATATTATGAATTAATATAGGGCTTCCTCTTCTGAAATTTTCTTTTTTCTTGTTAAACTGTGATGAAAAAAAAAAGAAGACGTAAACTCACTAAATGATATTTTATCTGAGTTTTGTTTTAATTTACCTTTTTTTATCCATTTACTGGGATTTTGTTAAAAAATGTTTTAAGAATGTTTTTTTTTTTTTTTTAAAAGTGTAAAACGACTACATGTACAGCATGAAAAAAGTGTAAAACGACTTAAAAACAAATACTACCTTCTTTAATGTTTTTAAAAAATGCTTTTTAAGAATTAAAATTTTAAAAAAAGTTATTAATTAATATAATTTATGATTGCAACAAAACCAAATTTGTTTTAGGATTAAAATGCCTAAAGTTTCTTATTTTGTTTTTAGCTTAAAATTATCTTATATTACCATTCGAAGTTAAATAATCAACTCATTTTTGACCAGGAACATAATATGACATCTTTTGATAACCTTATGTTGTTGATCAGGAATGTCATATTGCGTCTTTCCTTAACCAAATGTATTTGACAAGGTATTATACATTCAATTTATGGTTATTTTTAATTTATCGTTTGTTTTCATTACTTTTGTAATTTTAATGACAAATCTATTCATTACTGCCTAATTTTACACATTTTGCTTAAAATTTTATTTTTATGTTTAAAGTGATGAGGAAGTATAAACTTATATTCTATATAAACTTATATACTTTCTATTTATTTTTTGGATTTATAAATTTAATTTAAAATGACCACCACTACATATAAATGAAATATGTATATAAGTGCATGAGAATTAGCTGATGATTTTGAATTTTTAACCAAATAAAGAATAAATTTCTGCCAACTATTGTAGTTCAATTTTAATTTTACTTCCGAAGGAGAAAATCATCTTCGAATAGCTGAAAAGTTGACAGATATGTATTATGGAGGAACTCTCAGTTTATAAGGAGACTTGATGAGTTCAAGTTGCTGAAAATCTTTTAATTTATAACGCAATGTAATGATCATCACCATTAAAATTTTTAAAATGGCACATCATGAACTTTTTAAAGAATTTACCTCTGAATTTTGTGACCATAATTTGTCTGACTGCCCTAGTGACATCTAGGCCAGTGATTTATAAAATGATAGTTTTTCTGAGCATAATTTTCATTCAGACGATACGTATGGCATATTAACGAAATGACAAAAGACCTTAATACTTGAAAGCAACTCTGTAAATGAAGATAATGGTTATGATGCTAGAGAAAATTTATCTTTTTCTTCATAAGATTTGCTTGAAGGTAACGTTTTGCGAAAAATGGAGAACGATAAATATATGTGCGTGGTGCAACTATTAAATGTAGTAATCCGCAAAGTATTAGTGAAATAACAAAATTTATCTTCAATAATGACTTTTTCCACTTTCTTGCATTGTGAAGAACCCTTTTTTATCGACGAACTGAAAAATCATCTTAAAGTTATAACAATTGCTTAACATGGCAACTAACATGTTAAAATGGGCTGATGTTACTAATAATGACATGAAAAAATTTTTGGGAATGATAATTTGAATGGATTAAATATATAAGTCGCACTGGAAGGACTATTGGACAACTGATCCATTGATAGAAACTTCTATCTTTTAAAAGATTAGGACGAGAAGGCAGGTCAAGCAAATAACAATGTTTCTTCACTTTAACATTACTTCACTTTTTCCACTTGCTTACATCGTAAACAAGCCCGTTTTATCAACAGACTGAAAAATCATCTTAAAGTTATGACAATTGCTTAACACATTAGCTGCTACCTTGTTAAAAAAAAGTAACTGAGGCATGACATACATGTCTCATGGCAACTAACATGTTAAAATTGGCTGACGTTACTAATAATGACATGAAAATATTTTTGGGAACGATGTTTTGAATTGATTAAACATATAAGTCACACTGGAAGGACTATTGGACAACTGATCCATTGATAGAAACTTCTATTTTTTCGAATATTGGGACGAGAAGGCTGGTCAAGCAAATACTAATGCTTCTTTACTTTAATGTCAATTTGTATATCAGTTCTTAATAACAGAATTTCGAAACTGAAAGCATTTCTACCAAAATTTCTATTGATTTATCTACCCAGACAACAGCTGTCCCTTGATAAGGCAATTATTCTTTGGAGAGAGCATTATTATCCTTTATCGTATGATAAAAATATATTTTCTCTATTTAAATTTCAGGAAGCATTTGTTATTTTCATATGTTTACACACAAAAAGCGTTGAATTCTCTTCAGAAAAATCATTTACTGCTTCTATTCTCTGTTTGTGAAGATAATGAAATTTTTTTCTCACACTAATTTTTTTTTATTCTGTGAACATAGGCTGTTATTTGTAATTTGATGATGTAAAAAGTTATCAAATATTTTTTTTTAATGTTAAGCTGTTTTAAACTGTAGGCATAAGTTTTTGTTACATATTACTGTGTTGTGTATTTCAGCATGGGTGGTGCAGTTGCAGTGCATGCTGTATATAGGAATTTGATACCGACTGTTATAGGCTTAATTGTCATTGATGTTGTTGAAGGTACTCTTATCAATTTTTCTTTTTTCAATATTTTTTTAATTGAAATCAAAATAAATAAAACCCATAGTATAAAATGTTATAATTTTGAAAATAGTTTTTGCATTTTGTATGGGAACAATTAATTGAATTTAATTGGTATTTATTTATTTAACAAGAGAAATTTCTTATGTACTGAAAATTATGTTACCTTCATTCGTATTGCTATAGGTGTACTTATTTAATTCTCTCAGTCAATTATTTTCTCATATAAATAAAAGTAAACATCTGATGTTTATCAATGCAAGCTCTTGCAGATCCGTTTTTTTAAAAAATTAAATATACTAAATTATTATTATTAATGAAATATGATGAAACTTTTTTTTTAAAGAAATGCTCTTATTTTGCTCTTAATTTATTAATGCTCCTGGTTCATTACAAAGTTTATTGTGAATAATTTTAAAACCATCAATTTTGTTTAAGTTACTCACTATTTATTTTTATTTTTGTGACATTTTTCTAAGAAAAGAAGATAGCAGCAAATCATTTCAATATCTTTTCATTAGGTTTTTTTTTTGTATCATTTATTATCAGTAAATTACACAAAAAAACATGATGCTTTTAAAACAATTATTTTTGGTAAAATAACAATATCATAATAGCTTGTATTATTCTTTATTTTTGCACTGCTTTCAATTTTAAATAATGTTTATTTTGAATCTTTATAAAACTGTACTTTTTTTTGAAAATATGCCAATATTTATATTAAAATTATTCTTATTTAATTACAATCTAATCAAGGAATGAAACTAATTTACAAATTCAGAAAAAGATAAAGTAAGTAAGTAAAATTTAAATCAATAAATTGACAACACACAGGGGCCTTTCTGTGGTGAAACCAAAAACTGACAGTGCCCCAAGGCCCCATAAGGGAAAGTCAAATAAGAAAAAGCAGTAAGAAAAATTGAAATGTAGATGCAAAGATAAGTAAATGACAATAAGGCAGACAGTGTGTCCCCTGATGAAGTGCTGTCCAGCTAACGCGCATATCATTAAATTTTTATGGTTTTGTTTTCTGCTGGAGTTTTTTTTTTTCTTGTGACTTTTTAAACTTATTTAATTATATTATTTCTATATATTTCAGTTGAAATAGAGCTTGTAGCATATAATTCTAAGATATTTTCATTAATGTTTTTCAATCAGTGAATAAAACCATATTTTTTTTTTTTTTAAGTGTGCTATTCTTGATTTTAGTTTTTTCTTGGCTTTTAATTAGCATCAATATGCATCTTTGCAAAATTATTCCAACTGCCATAGTCACTTTTTTCATTAATGATGTTTAGTGCTTACTCATTAATTTTCTTTATTTCAGTATTTTTCAATTAAAAAAATAAAAAAACAATACTGCAACAGGTATTGCTATTCCTAGTGATTTTTATATCTTTATTAATTGATTATTTTGGTATGATTTCCTTTTAAAGTTTAATGCTCACATTTTTATAATGTTCTTAATATTTAATAACTATTGCAATTTAAAAATTAGTGTATTTGATAATTTTTTTAATGAAAGATAAAAATTATATATTTATGTACAATTATATATTTAAATTATATTTTTAGGTACTGCTATGGATGCCTTGCAAAGTATGCAGAGTTTCTTGCGTAGTCGACCTCCATCTTTCACTAATTTGCAAACTGCTATTGAGTGGTGGTAAAAAAAAAAAATTTCTAAAAAAAAATCTATGTTTATATCTTATTTACATTCCCTAAAGTTATGATTGATTTTTAATATGATGATATAAATATGCTTTGTACATTTGAGATACGAGTTTTTAATTTGCTAAAGCTTATGTGAAAACTATAAAGGTTTCTATAGCTTATTATATTTTTATACAACAAAAAATGCAAGAAATGTCACAATTTTCAATTTTATATAATACGGTAAGAGATAAGCTTATTTAGATTTGTTGATAAATATTTAATTTTTTTACATTAAGAATGGTTATAGCAGTATTGACTCAATGCAATCAACTGATATTTTATAAATTTAACCACTTTTTTTCATCAAATTCTAAAATTAATATCAACCTATTGAGATAGCCAAATAATGGTCAATCAAAATGCAAGCATTGGCAGTATAGTGTTAAAAATAAATTATCTTTGTATTTTTCAGTGTTAGAAGTGGTCAAATTCGGAATGTAGAATCAGCTAAAGTGTCAATGCCTGGACAACTTAAAAAGTATTTATTTTACCTAAACTCATTATTAAATTTTTTTCCATTTTATGTTATTTTTAATAAACATGCATCTTTAATAATCTATTTTTTAAAAAGTTTTTTACCATTGTTGTTACTTTACTTTATTAGCCTACTGCTTAAAACTGGTGGCAGAATATGTATCGGATAACAGGTGTTAACTTAATAATCCAAGAAACTTTTTACAATTAAAAGCTGTTAAACACTAGATTGCCTAAGGATTTTTTATTTTGACTACTTTTTATTTCAATTCGAAAAACAATGATGTATATGGGTCATTCTCATAAAAACAGTCATTTTCATGTCCCCAGTATATTTTATGTTTGTTTTACAGCTTACGAAAAAAAAAAATTCAGGGAAAGTGTCCTTCAGAATGCAAGCTAACAAAAGAATAAAAATAAAATTATCAATTTTTATTTTTTATTTATTTTAGGTAATTAAAATATACCAATATGTCATTCCCTCACTTGTCCCCACTGCTGATTTAAAAAAAGAAAAAAATTGTTTCTGAAATAAAATTTTTTTTTTTACAAATTCGTGTTTTTTATTTCAGAATACTGAAATATAGAATTCAGAAAATCAATTTTAAATTTAATTTCTGATAAAAATATTAACACAGCACTATTTTAAACTTTGTCCCCAGTGTTTCGCGTCATTCCCTCACAACAATGTTCTTATCACCTGCAATCTTCTTAGAATAAAAATATTTTAATAAAAACTTCAGAAGTTAACAACTGGCATCATAGAACAAAATTGCAGTATGTTTCCATCTTCAACTTAAAGAAGCTTTGCTGTGGAATAAATTTGAATGAATCAAACCAGGTAAAATTTTTTACATTTGTCATTCCCTCATGTCATTTTTTAGAGTAAAATAAAATACAACTTAATCGAGAAAATGGATAATTATATGTTGCTTTCTTGTATGAATATAATTGTATGTGATTGACTTCAGAAATTAATTAGGCCTAACTGTTATTTTTAAATTTTATTGAATTCGTCATTCCCTCACTAGTGTATAAAGTGAGGGAATGACGCTGAAGTGAGGGAACGATTCAAGATGAGTATATTAAATTTTTTTTTGTTCAATCGTGCCAGCCAATTTTATTTCCCAAACCTGTAAAAACTATTAAATATATAAGACTAAATTATAATAAATATTAGATATACTTAGTATGTTATCATTTTCAAACTTTAGGTAGATGTTATCATTTTCGTGAGAATGACCCATATAATGACACAATTTCTTATATAATTTGCAGTATATATTTTTTTTATTGTTAATATTTACTAATAACTTGATATATATAATAATATAAAAAATAATGAAAACTAGTTTTAAACAAATTTATTTACACATTATTTATTCTTTCATGATCCAGTCATTTTGACTGCTTCTGGGCAATATAGGTATGTACTAAGTTTCAGTCTTTCTAGTGTTAACCTAGAGATTCTTTCTTTCTAGAGATTCAAACTCATTTTGAGAATAAAGAATGTAAGCTTTTTTTTTTTGTGTAGATATAAAACGTATAAAGTAAAATATCATATTTTTATTGCTTAATACTATAAATAAATAAAGGAATTTTCAACATCAATGCTGCTTTAGACTGTTTAAAAGTATTCAACTACTTTTTCAAGAATACTCAAAACTCTTCCACCAAGAGCAATAAAAAAGCCATAGCTCGAGTGTCTTGGACTGTCAATTTAAGTTTATTTTATAAACATATGCTATCAATCAACAAATTTATGAACCGAAAAGGTATCCATAAACTTACTGTACTTTTGAAGGGAAATTTACATCTACTGTAATGTATCAAATTGACCATGTCAATTTTAGTTTGATAATGCAGTATTCTCTTTTGATAATCAATGATGTAATCTATATTTTAACTTTTGGACTAGAAAAGGAATCTAGAAGTTTTGCTACACTTTTAATATTTAAAATTTATTCAAGGTGTTTTATGTTCGGTTATGTCAAAAGAATAATTTCTTTAAAATCTTTTTCATCAAAAAACTTATTGTCAATAGTGTTTTTGTTTTGAAAATCCAAAAATGCTTAACTCTTGATTTTGAAAGGGTTTTCACAATGCAGAGAAACACAATGCAGAGCTCTATTAGAATAAACAACTTGTGTGGGATGTTTTGATAGGTTTAACAGGCGTAAAAATAATGTATATGTTTTGTAAGTTAATCTATAGGTGGATATAGGTTTTTATATATATTGATTGTTATATTAGAAGTGTTGCTATAATAGAAGGTTATGGAAAAGTTAAGACTGTATTAATATTTTAGTTGAAACTGCATTTATTTTTTATGATATGCATTCAACTGTTTGAAAGAAATAATACTTTTAATGAGAAAAGTATTTTAGTAAAAAATTCCTCCATATACAGTATTTCTTTATTATTTTACTTATTTTTTTCTGACCAAATTTTTTTTTCTCTTTGACCTCAAGCTCTTTGACTGGCAATCCTGCAACAAAGGAAATCCATCTCCAAACATCTGCTGAACAAGCAGCAATTGATGTTCTTGCTCCCCGACAAGTTGCTCCTTCAGACAGCATCATGGAAGAGGCAGAGGAAGATGAAGAGCACAAATCAAATAGCACACCCACTGTTGCCAGTGAGGACTTTAAGATACCTCCAAATCCAGTAAGAATGGAATCTATATAGCATCATTTTCTAAATTCATTTAAAAAAAATTATTTTATTAATATTTTTGTCAAAAAATATTTATTTTTTTGTAAATTTTTGAAAAATATTTTATTTTAATTTTGTTATAAAATTGGGAGCTTGAAAAAATGATTAGTTAAGTTTTGAAATGCTATATATCATGAGAAATTATTTACTAAATATGGGTTATTGATGAAAAGGCTCTAAATTTTCAGTTTTCTCACTTAAATTATTTAAAAAAAAATTTTTTAAATTTTCAAGCTATGCTTATTATTAGTTTTAGAAAAATAATGGATTTATTGTTTAGTAAATCAGTAATAAGATAATGTATAATCAATTTTGCTTTTTAACAAAATTTTCATATTTTGCCTCCTACCAACATTTGAAAAACAATGCGTTCACTGTTTGATAAATCAGTGTAAAGATTCTGTATTATCAAATTTTAAAGTTTTGTCTGTTACCAGTTTTAGAAATACATCACATTTCTTTTCTAAATCACTATCAAGATCAGTGTAATATTGATATTAAGGTAATATTAAGGAAATTATGGTACCATTTCTGAACAGAACATATTTGCTTTTGTAAATTGCTAAAGCTTTTTCCTGTATGTATATATATATATGTGTGTGTGTAATACAAAAAGTAAATACTTTTGTATTAATAAAAGAATTAAATCTCTTTCGTTTTCATAAAATGTCTTTGTTAAAGAATAAGCGTAGAGAGATTCTATTTTGGGAATTCAAGGCTGAAAACATACCATTGAAATATAAATAGATTTATATTTCAAGGGAAGAGTTATTTTTAGAATCGTTCCCTTTTTCAATNATATATATATATATATATATATATATATATATATATATATATATATATATATATATATATATATATATATATATATATATATATATATATATATATATATATATATATATATATATATATATATATATATATATATATATATATATATATATATATATATATATATATATATATATATATATATATATATATATATATATATATATATATAAACTTTTTTAGTTTGAAGCAACTAAAAAAAAATCATTTCTCCTAAATTTTTTTTTTAATAATTTTTTTAACAAGAATTTTCATCAATGGCCACATGACTAACCCTATCTTTCTGAAGCATTGAAGTAAAAAATAATATGAAAAATAAGGTATAAATATTTTTACTAATTTAAAAATAAAAGTAGATATTAATAGAATATAAAGATTCTACTCAAATTTGTTCTTATATTCAGGTAATAAAAGCTTCTCTGCTTATAGAAAAAGAAAAACGCAGCGAAATTTTGAAATTCATTATTGTTTTAAATAAACTGGAAAATTAAATTTTTTAGCTTGTTATTTAGTAAAATATTTGCTTGAAAGTTAACTTCGTTAAATGTAAGTGCTTATATTATTTTAAATTTCTCTTTTTGTATCAAAGCTTTAGTTGAGCCTAAAAAATGTCACTAGTAAAATCTCCGTTATTTTAATTCTCTAATGTTTGCAGGCATGAGTTTTTAGAATTAAAAGTCTGACTTTTATTTTTCTCCAATGCACACCGAAACCAAATGTGCCTCTGTGGGAACCAATGGCACTGGGTGTTGAATCTCGAGATTTTCCTCAGCAGGCCAGGGTTCAAACAAAATTAAAAATACTTGAGCTGCTTCATTGCTCAAATTCTGTCTGATTTCTTTAAAGAATTTATGATTAAGAGTACAAAAAATATGGTTGTTAAATTAATGTTGGTCTCAGCATTTTAATATTTAGTTTGAGCATTTTAAAATTTAGTTGGTAAATATCCTGTTTTTTATTTTTTTATTTATTTCTTCAGTAATAAATTTTTTAATAATAAAAGTCTAATTTGACTCATCCTGCACTACAACAAAAATTATCCTTATAAGAATTATTCTTTGTTAGAAAAGTAAAATAAAATAATATATAACTTTGTAATAAGTACAATTCATTTGAGCTAATTACACTGGTGTTTAGAAATGTAATAAGCACAGATAAATTATCCTTATTACATTGTTTATTATTCAGTTTTACAGCAAAAATAGCTCATTTTCTAACGAGGCAAATATGAAGTATTAGATAATCTATTTGAAGAACTCATGAAAATGATGTTATTTTACCATACAATGTCAGATTCTAAAATATTTTAAAAGTATTCATGAACTAAGAACAAAGCGTTGAAAGTCTCTTGAAGTATGAATGCATTGTAAAGCTGTGATGCATAAATACTTATAAGACATCAATGTGATGATATATGTTGTTGCTTAATAACAAAGAATATCTAATACTTATGTATTATTTAATCAAGGAGTGTCTTATAGTTAGCTCTTAGTAAACTGCAACAAATCTTATTCTTGTTTACTTGTGTAACTCCTATGCTTTGCTTTTTTTTCTCTCTTTTCTTTATGTAAAATTAATTCTTATATTTTCCCTCTGCAGACAGCTCAATCAGCAAAATATGTGTGGCGTATCGAATTGTCTAAGACTGAAAAGTTTTGGAATGGTAATTGTACTTATGTAGTAATTAATTGAAAAAAAAAATAATTTAAGATAAATATTTATTGTTTATTAGTTACCTAAAAATTATACATATTTTTTATTGTTTTTTCTTTGTATATTGTGAAAAGCATTTCTGATGATAACATGATTATAAGAAATGTCAAAAACAGTTTCGATGTTACTGATAAAGAAGGCGTGGATATTCTATGATCCATGAACATAGAAAAGTTGAAAATAGCTTCAATTCCCCCCTTTCTTCAAAAAATATTTTAAATTTTTGGCACAGATTTTATTTCATATAAGTTATAAATAGGTTTAAGTTGTGTTAAATTTTGCAAAAAAATTCCGACTAATTACATGCTAATATATTTTTTTAAAATTTAAATCAGAGATTTTTTTAAAAAAAATTTTCAAGTTATTTATATTATGATTTAATTCAGTCGCGATTTAAATCAAACTTATTTAAATCAGTGAAACATACTATTTTTGATCTTTTAAAAATCTAAATTTGCACAAAAAAATGTTTTTTTTTTTTAAATTTTTTATTATTTTTTTTTTGAAAAAGATATTTTTTATTGTTATCTATTCTTTTCCAAAACCTAAACTTTAAATGCAGGTTTGTGATAGTATTTTCTTTGTTTGTTTTTGATTAGTATAAATAATTTACATAACTTTAAAAATCAACACCAGTGCGTGAAATTTCCATTCTAAAGGTACTAGCCAGGTTAAAATTTTTGCTTGTTACAAAATTTTATGAAAAATAGGAAAAATTATCAAACATTAACAGATGTAGTATTAAGAATTTTCCGTTGTACAAAACCATAAAAGAATTTATAAACTGAAAGTAATAATAATACTTAAATTAAGTTTCCAGTATGGTCTCAAGGGTTTCAATATTATTCACATATCATTGAAAATCATTAATATGAAAAAATTAAGATATTAGATATTCCATCTGCAGCCCTTGAGTCAATCTCTTACTTTGTTATTCTTATGATACAGGAAGTGTTGGTCAAACACTGTTGCTTACTTATTAGCTTCAAATATTAGTTCACACAGATGTATATACTGTATGCTTCATTTTAATTATATATGTCTGTTTTATCATTACTTATTATTTTACTTAGGTTGGTTTGAGGGTTTATCAAACATGTTTTTGTCTACATCTGTGCCCAAACTGCTTCTCTTAGCAGGTAATTTGTTTTTCTTTTTATTTAAATGTTATTTACTTTCATGTTATGATTAATATTTTATTTATTATGACATTCATTAACATCTAATGGTTGTAATACTTTTTATACTTAATTTTCATTTTTTTAAAGGCGTGGATAGACTTGATAAGGATTTAACCATTGGTCAAATGCAAGGTGAGTATCACTAATATCCTTTGAAATCCAGTAAAATGTTTGTTGAACTTTAATTTTATTCTAAATTAGAGTGAGAGCAATTTTGCATGCTGATTAGAATTCTTATCTTCATGATATTAATATTAGTTTAATAATTTTGCTGCATTCTACAAAACTTTTGTTTGCATTAATTATTGCTCGAGGAAGTCATAAATAAGTAATTGACAGTTTTTACTTCCTGAATTATGACATGTTTTTAGATCTGTATTAACTATTAAATTTTTCCCTTTCATTAAATTAGCGTGGAAAGAAATGTAGATACAATTTGTTTTTATAATTTTTAAAGTTAAGTGTTTATTTATTAACACTTAAACTTAAGTCATTATAAAAATCATTGTGTATCTATTTAACTTTTATATGTTACGTTTAATTTTTCATAATCTAAATGTGTTGTTTTAGGAAAAGGTAAAATAACTAAAATGAAATTATGTTGCTTGCATAGTTTTAACAATTATATTGAAACTTAATAAATTAATTCATTTTGCTTCACACTATATGTAATATATATGTAAGTTCAAAATGTAGATAAAACAAGGGAAAAATTACAGTACAATGAAAAAAGGAAAATAAAAATAACAAAAAACCGGTGGGAGAATCCGTAAAAAAGGAAAATTTTTTTTTAAAAAATCCGGAAAATAAAAGATATAATCTTTTCATCAGCCCACGCGATTATATCCGCAAGAAAGAGTGCTTTCTAATATTATATCAATATAGCCAAAGCAAAATATATCAATACAATAGTATGAGGAGCACTCGAAAAATTTTTACAAAAAAATTACAGCAAATAAAATAGAATAGTAAAAATAAGTTCTCACAAAATAAAAATAACAGGTAAAAACAGAAAATAAAAGAAAAGGAAAAAACAGAATGAGACATAAAATCCTATATTACATTCTATAAAGCGAGTAGCGAATTCAAATGAACTTACATGAACGGGAAATTTTTCAAGAACGATTTAAAATATTTTCGTAACAAGATTGCCAGATTGCAAAAAATGAAAACAAAAGCGCAAATTGAGATGAAAGCGTAACTAGAGGAGTTTTTTATTAAAGTGCATTCTTACTGCATTACTGAAGTGCATTTGATTTCTTAGATCAAACAAGCGCATCAAACGCACACGAAAAATTTCCTGTTCATGTAAGTTCAATTGAATTCGCTACTCGCTTTATAGAATGTAAGATAGGATTTTATGTTTCATTCTGTTTTTTCTTTTTCTTTTATTTTCTGTTTTTACGTGTTATTTTTATTTTGTGTGAACTTATTTTTACTTATTGTGTTCTATTTTATTTGCTGTAATTTTTTTGTAAAAATTTTTTGAGTGCTCCTCACACTATAGTATTGATATTTTTTGCTTTGGCTATATTGATACAATATTAGAATGCACTCTTTCTTGCGGATATAATCGTGTGGGCTGAGGAAAAGATTATATCTTTTATTTTCTGGATTTTTAAAAAAAAATTTGTCCTTTTTTCGGATCTCTCACCCCCCCCCCCCCCCNCCCCCCCCCCCCCCCCCGAGTTTTTTGTTATTTTTATTATTTTCATTTTTTTCCTCTTTTTTCATTGTTCTGTAATTTCTCTCTTGTTTTATCTATATTTTGAACTTATTTTATCAGTTCTATTTACTTGCAGCTTATGCGCAATAAATAAAACTTATTGTTTTTCTTAATTTTCTTTGTGTTTTTTGTATTTATCAAATCATTGTGTATCTATGTTTCGCATATGCTATATATATATATATATAAGAATAAATAATAGTTAGGGTTAAAAGTCTGTTACATAGATTAGATTGTTTTTAATCAATATTACCTTAAAATAAAACTATTTTGCTTTTATTCTATAATCAATTTAATCTAATCCCTAAATAGTAATTAAAATGTGCTATGTAATTTTACGCAATTAGTATAAAGTTACTTTTTCTAAAATAGCCTTTTTGTTTTTAAAAGATGTTAAAAATATATTTTTAATATTCAAAATTATTCATCTGTCTAGGAAAATTTCAAATGCAAGTTTTACCTCAGTGCGGACATGCTGTACATGAAGATGACCCAGATAAGGTAATATATTATTATTTGAAGAAAAATATACAGTGTACAAAATAAAAAGCTTTATACCCTAAATAACTTTTGACCTAGTGATCAGATTTTTATGTACCAAGACACAATGCTTATATTTTGAGAGACCCAGTTAAGATATGCTAATTGAGTAGTGTAATGATAATTTAAGCTAGACTAAAAAATATACTTTCTCTAAATAAACTTACCTTTAAAAAGTGGAAATCTGATTTATTAGTTACATCCGGAGATAGATTTCTGCTGTTTCGCATATTTCATCATGTCTCCAGAAACTTTATAAATTTCTTTGCTCTCATTTAACAACAAATTTGTTTATTCTCAAGTAAGTTATTGCAGGAAAATAATCTTATTTTTTTATTTATTGTTTTTTGGTATTTTAGTTTACTAATAATTTAAAATATTTTGCATTGTTAAGGCTTAGAAATATTTGCATCTTCTTTAACAACGTAAATTTAAGTAATTAATTGTAAACTTTGAATTAAATTTTTCAAATGTGATATAAAATTTATTTTTGAATTATTCTTCTTCAGGAGCTGTTCAACCAAATTATTAATGTTCAGTTTTCAAAATTGCATTCCTTAGAGGTGTAAAAATTTGTGTTTTTTGCAATTTGAAATGTATTTGACCATTAAAAAAATGTGTAAATAACTACTTTTTTTTGCATAACTGGATATATTATTTTCTAAATGGGTGCAAAGATATATTTATTTCTGTATTTACTTGAGATATGGCATAATACTCAAAGTAAATTAATGGTATTAAGTAAATTATTATTTGCACTAATTATTAACATGTCATAGTCAGAAACTTAACATTTAACTAGTTGGAAACTTAAGCCAAGCCAAACTCATTGCAAAGATATCCCATCCTTAGGCCAAAAGTTCTTCAGGGTGTTACAATTTCACTGTAGACTTGCTTAAACTAGTTCAGCGTGCTCACTGTGCAAAAAGTAAATTCTTAAATATATACAATTTACAATTATTGTATTTAAAATATCACCCTCTGTTTTATCTATGCTTATTTTTCAGTATTACTTGAGTAATTGCTGCAAATTTATGAAACTGTAACTGATAATATAATTAATTGCTTTTTTTTAATAGGTAGCTGAAGCTATAGCTACTTTCCTTGTTCGAAACAAGTTTACATCAGCAATCTGTGATTTTCAAAGGTAAATAGGGTAGCTTTTATAATTTTCTTTAGTGTGTTCTGGAATCTAAATCTACTTCCCTCATTTCCTATCTAAACTGAAGATAATTATATGAATTCTGATTCCCTGTTAATTCTTAAATTAATATTTTTGAATTGCTTTTGTTTCTCTTTTTTTTAAAATTGAATTTAATTAGTCAGATTTTATGATTTAATTATTTTTCCCAAGCTGTTGTAGAAGCTTTAAGAAGTTTTAAAATACTGAAACCTTAAAAATAAGTTTCAGGTTACTAAGTTGCATAAAATTTATTTCAAAGAATAAAATTGGATAAAAAACACAAATTATATTCATATCTTAAATAGGGAATGGCACTCATATAATTATCTTCAGATTAACATAGGAGGTAGAAGATCTAAAATTGCTAATTTATGACTTAAATAGGGCTTATGACTTAAATAGCACTCATATGTTTATCTTAAGGTTAATATGAAAGGTAGAAGATCTAAAATTGCTAATTCATGACTTCAATAGGGCATTGCACTCATATGATTATCTTAAGGTATCATGGGAGGTAGAAGATGTAAAATTTTATTTCAGATCACCCTTAATATGCTTGTTTACTATTGACTTAAAGAACACTTGGGAAGAGTTCCACAATTAAGATTTGATGTTGAATTAGTATTTGAAATTGATTTTTTTAAAATTTGCCTATTTATAATGTGATACATCTTATAAATCAGTTGAGATATTATTTTTTCTGTTTTTCAGTTGCAAAAATTTTTTTTAATGATTTCGAGCATTAATCGTACTACCTATTGTAATGCATTAACATTTGTTGACCTTACAAAAGAGAAAAGAAAAGGTTATGTTTTGCAAAAAATATGCACCAATATAACTTTAAAATTTGAACTTTCATATTATGTTATAAGCTTTCATGGTATTTATTTTTTTAATCATTTGTATAAGATTTTTTTTCTGTGCTTAAGCTTTTGTACTGTCTCTGTGAACTAAATATCAAATTGTATATTATGTACAACAAACAGCTCATCTGATTGAATGTACAATTTGAAAGCCGCTTGGCATGAATATTGATAACAGATTTGTGAGTACCCTTTTAGTGAAATTTTTGCATTCTAATTTGTACTTATTTTAAATATGTTTGACTAATTTACAAATGAAAAGGAATATGAGTTCTTTTGTTTTAATAACTTTTCAAAAAATGTTTGTTGAAACAAATCGCTCAAAAATAAATAAAAGTCATCTTAATGAATAGTAAAAATAATCTAATCATAGCAAGATCAGGATATCAATGCAGCTTTTATAGCTATCTATTTATATTTTGACGTCATATATAGTCCAAAGCAGATTTTATAAAAAGCTGTTGCCATTTTCAGAAAATAAACAAGTAAATAAAGTAATTGTGGTGTATCTACCACTACAAGAATACAACTCCAATTCACTAGTACATAAGACAGGTTAACTCGATTCTATGTTGGGGTACTTTTTCATCGATGAAGGTTGACATTGTTGATAGCTACTATCCCCACATTCGTGACCTTCGGACATTATGTGAACACGCCTACTTTGACAGAAACTCCCACTCTGATTTGAACATGCCTATTTCAATAGATAGTCCACATTGAAAAGTTGACTTGTGGCAGCGACAATATCAACCTGCTCGCTATTGCTACTTAGTCTCGATCACACACAATGTTGGTCTGTATACACTTGACTGCTAATGGAACACACGAGCGACCATGCATCAGTTCATCGAATTCTATGTATCCGATAAAATTTTGGTGGGGGTGTACTGCAGTGTATCTACCACTACAAAAATACAATTTCCAATTCACTAGTATATAAGACATGTTAACTCGATTCTATGTTGGGGTACTTTTTCATCGATGAAGGTTGACATTGTTGATAGCTACTATCCCCACATTCGTGACCTTCGGACATGATGTGAACACGCCTACTTTGACAGAAACTCCCACTCTGATTTGAACATGCCTATTTCAATAGATAGTCCACATTGAAAAGTTGACTTGTGGCAGCGACAATATCAACCTGCTCGCTATTGCTACTTAGTCTCGATCACACACAATGTTGGTCTGTATACACTTGACTGCTAATGGAACACACGAGCGACCATGCATCAGTTCATCGAATTCTATGTCTCCGATAAAATTTTGGTGGGGGTGTACTGCAGTGTATCTACCACTACAAAAATACAATTTCCAATTCACTAGTATATAAGACATGTTAACTCGATTCTATGTTGGGGTACTTTTTCATAGATGAAGGTTGATATGGTCGATAACAACTATCCCCACATTCCCCATTGTTATTAACTATAAACTAGCACAATCAAAAATATCTCTTACTTACCGATTTTCTATAGGCTTCATCGAGAGAGAAAAATAATCAAAAGGAAAGACTGTCTTCAACTGAAATTAATAATTTAAAAAAATAAATAGAAATTACAAAAAAAAAAAAAAAAAAAAAAAAAACAAAAAAAAAANAAAAAAAAAAAAAAAAAAAAAAAAAAAAAAAAAAAAAAAAAAAAAAAACACTTAAGAAAAGATACTTTTCAATCGAGAAAGGTTGATTTGGCTTCTTAGAAGAAACCCTCACTTGTAAATTTTCTCAGTTGCTTATTCAGAACAGTAAAGTATACATAACAGGAAAATTGAAGCAAATAAAAAAGTGAAATGAAACATACTGATAATCGACCAAATTATTTAATTTGGTATAAAAATGCCCGATGTTTCCTAAAAAAGAAATCTAATCCATATTTTTGATTTTTCACATACTTATAATTATAATTGCAATTATTATTTACAGTATTACTCCTCGCTGATTGGGATTGTCATTTGCGAGCATATAATATAGTCATATCCGAGCATATAAGTATAAGCTGCTCATTATATGATATTATGAATACGATAGCAATTATTATTTATTGTATTACTCCTGGCAGAATGAGATTGTCATTGCGAGCATATAATATAGTCATTTGTGAGCATATAAGTATAAGCTGTTGTGTAGTACTCTAATATGCTTTCTGCATTTAAATTTTATTTATAAAGTCGATTTATTAATTAGCTTTTCGGAATTTACATGAAAAATGTATATTGTCTAATAATCCATGAATGTCTAATAAGACATGTTAACTTGATTCTATGTTTGGGTTCAAACAAACTATAGTTTCAGAACTACAAATTTAAGAACTCTGCATTAACTTGTATTAACTTCTCTGCCTTGAAAAACTTATTGAATATTGTACTATGCCCAAAATGAAAACACTGTTCATTATGCGATTCATACTCTTGAAGCTTACACTATTTATATTCTATTCATACTCTTTGAAACTTTATTGAAGTTTTTTTTAGGAAAAATACATTGATTTTATTTATTATATATGCAGTCTAAGTTTTTTTTTTTAAATCTTTTTTTCAGACCTTATTGTGCATGCTAAGAAGTGTCCACCATCTTGAAAAACTTATTCCCCCAAATTAAAGAAAATGTATCAAGAAATACTGCCAAGAGTGATATCATTTAAACATATTTTCATTATAAAATCATTTGGTCACCACCACAGAGGTGCCAATTATTATGATTTATCCACAATTGCGATTTTATTGTCAAGATTATGGTTTTACAGTTTATTAATGAAAATTGCTGCTTTTTAGAAATTTCATAATCTGCTTAAAATACATTGTTTACCTCTAACCCCAATAGCGGAATTTATTGAGCCTTCTTCAGCTGGTACAGGGGTACTTCTAATCAGCAGGTGGAGACTTATCTTTTTAATAAATGAGACTTACGCAAAATTTGCAACTTTGCAAAATTTGACTTTTGCAAAATTTGAATTTTTAAGTTTAAGATATTTAAAAATCAAACTCAAGAAATGTATGTTGTTTAAATTGAATTTGAAATATATGAAATTTTACTTATAAAGGAAAATGGAATAGATCCATATTGAAAGCATATAAAAAAGTAGACAGAATTTTTTATTTTATTTTTTTAACAGATTCAATAAAAACTTAATACACCACACCAGATTTATTTTCAGGCTACTATTGCCTCTTTTTCAATATTAACAGACAACTCTAGACTTTGTGACAGGAAGAGTTCTTTAAACAGATATGCTATACATCGTGCGACTAAAACATGCATATCTTTCTGTCAAAGTATATTGCAAACTATTCTGTAATATTTGCATATCTTTGCAAAAATTATGCAAGACCTCATTTGCAGACAAATATTTGTCACTGCAGAATTAACTTGCAGACAAATTGCCTCATTGCAAAAATTTCTCTGCAAAAAATTTAAATCTTTCTGAAAACTTCTACAGATTCCATCACGATTTAAGAAATTTTGTTATTTGCAAGTAATGTACCCAATTTTTTTCTGTTTCTTAAATAAGTCTAAAAGCAATAAATAAAGATATGATAGTTAGAAGTTACCGGATTTATCAGTAGCAATTAAACTTAATACATGTGGTGATGTATGTTTAAATTTTTTTTGTATTAAATGCAGCTATATTTTTATGCATAAATTTAGCTTTTTTCAGTTGAAAATGTATGCAGCATAATAGTGTAACACTGGATAATATTTTGCTCTATTCTTGCTTTCCATGCAAATTTCTTTTATGGTTAAGATTTATAAAATAAATAGTAGATAGTAGTGTACAAGATAACGGTGTATTCATTGCTACTTTAATTATGTCTAGTGTTTATGAATTTAAAACCTGTTTTGTGTTGTTCAAGTATTTTAAAAGGTGATTTTCTATTTAACGAGTTTTCCATGTAACAAACTTATTGTCGGGATTTAGCGACTTCGTTAAATAGAGGTCCGACTGTATTTTTAAATTAATACACTAACCTAATAGAGCATTGCAATTTTATTCAATTTTTCTGCTATTCTTTTTTTATGTATATAAATAATGATAAAATAGATTGATAGATAATATCTAATCTATACCCAAGATGATAAAGAATTTTTAACTTGTACCATTGAAAAGGGAGGAATCTTTTATAATAATTTTGATTATTGTGTTTTGTTTTAAATGATAGCTTTTATATTTAGTTTTACTTCTTGGCAATATTTAACTTTTTCAATTAAAGAATGTAAACAAGTTTTATAAGGGAAAGCAATAGATGAAGCATTATAGTTATTTTTTCTTGGCTCTTTCATCTGTCTCTTGTCTGCATTGTTTTCTTAGCATTGTTCATTGTTATTGTTTTGTTCTAATAATTATTAAAAAGATAAGGTTTTCATTAGTTACTTGATATATTTTTTATTTAAGTTCTAACATTTTGAGTTTTGTTAAAGCATTTTTTTTAATATTGTTTTCAAACCATTTTAGTTTATGTCTTGTTAAAAAATGTACTGAAACTAATTATAATAAATGTTTTACCATTTGAGATCAGTTCTATTCTATAATTATTCATGACTTATTCTTTGTTACAATGGAAAATTCAGTTATATTTTATATTCAGTTGATCAAATATTAAATATAATTTGAAATCTATGTTTTAAATTTATTTTTCATGGTAAAAATGCTATAAATTATTCATATTTATAGTTTCCTTGCTAATTAAAAAAATTAATTATTTAATGTCTAAAGGGTCTTGTTGAATAAATATACTTTAAATTCACCAACATTCTAAATAAGTTTGTTTGTGTAAATAAAATAAGGCATATAAAAATCATACATATTATCAATGTAAATAAAAAACAATTTTAATTTGCACAATGCTACGTTTAATTCAAATTTTTTATTTAAACTGAATAGTTGTATACTTTCAAGAAGATTTTATCTTGATGTAGTTTTTTCATGTTCCTGCATACATCGAGTAAATTAATTTTTAAGATATGGATTTAGAAAAAAATATTAATTCTAATTTGAAAATGTACTTGTATGTGTACTATTCAGTCAAATTATTCTTTAATTTTTTATTTTATTCTTAAACTTTTATTCTTTTAGTTTTTTGAAAACCTTTTTTTTATAGAACTAAAGTGAAATAGAGAAATTTAATTCGTTTGTTTTCAGTAAAGACTACTGTAGGCTGATAGTGTTGCAGAAACTTATTTCCATTCAGCTAAAGTGTGCTTGAATTTTCATTTTTAGGTGTAATAATTTGAAAAAACTTTTTACTCTAAATATTTTGCATTTCAATTTTCATCTAAGCATTCTAAACAATTTACATTTGCTTCAATAAAAGCTTTTTTCTTGATGCATGTTTTGCATCGTATTGTAATTTCTTTTAAAATGCTAATTTTTAAACTAAAATTTAATACATATACAGAAATACCAACAACTACTACGGATTCTTTGTAGTTTTGAATTGTTTTTTTTAGTGGCAGTGAACTAAAGCCAAATTTTTTGAAACAGATTTTTTTTAAAAATTATTAGAACTCAATCAGTTTTCTATATGATTATATATATCTCTGTTTAATTTACTTGTGTTTATTGATGGACAAAATTCTTTTAATTCTAATTTAATAAAATATAAATACATTACCATTGCTACCATTATAAAAAATTTATTTTTCCAACTACGGTCAGTCCACAGTAGTTAGAGTATGTACAGTGCACCTAAAAAAAAGGACCACCCTGAATAACTTCTGATCTAACGATCGTATCTTCTCATTCTTAATGTTTTGAGGGAGTGACCTCAAATATGCTAATTAATATTAGAGCTGACGATATTTTAAGTCCCGAAATCAGACCCAAATACGTACTTTCTCTGAATCAGGGCTGATTGTACTCCGGAAAAATCCTGATTTCCGGAATTTTCGCTAACAGTGATCCGGAGATCGAAGATCCAGAAGTTTCCGGAAATCAAATTTTCAAAGGTGGAACTTAAAAACACAGTTTATTTTATTTGTTTGTAAGGGAGAGCCAGAGAGATACTTTATAAGCTTATATTCATGATTAATATCCATTTTTTATCAGTAAATAGTTGTTATAATCATTAGCTCAAGAAAGAAAGACACATTTGTAAATTTTAATTACTTCTCCAGGTTAATTTTTTAATTTAAACTGTTTTTTTTTTAACTCAGGAAATTTTTTGGAAATTTGACTTGAGCTCACAATCACCCCTGCTGAATAAGCATAGTTTTATTTCCCAACTCATTTGGATTTCTGGATTCTCATTACCCCAAAATATAGGGGGTAGCTGCAATCTGCTAAATATGATCCCAATAGTTTTGTTAGGAGAGAGATTCAAGGTTAAAACCCCTTAATGTTTATTTTACTTTTTGTGTATTTCTCGAGAACTTTTTAAGCATATTGAAAAATTTTTGCGTACAATTATAAAATTCGTTCTTCCAAAGATAATTCCATGCAAAAAAAATAAATTTTAGTCAATGTTTATTAATTTTTATTATTTTGTTACATAATAGGCGAAAAAATGTTCAATTGTAAGGTATACAATTTTTTACATCATTTTAAAGTTACATTACAAAATTTGAGCAAAACGGTTGAACATTTCCTGAGAAGTTGTATATTTGAGGTCACCCCCTCGAACCATTAAGATTGAATCCTATAAGGTGAAGATCCAACCGTTAAATCAAAAGTTATTCAGGGTGGTTCGTTTTTCTTTGGCACAATTTGTTTTACTTATGGTGTTATAAAAAATTTGTTTTACTTATGGTGTTATGTTCATATTTGCACTTTAAACAGGTGCTACATATACATTTATGAAATAATTTGCTTATTTCATAAATGGAATTTTTTTATATTTTATTATTTAGATTCTTTAGTTTATCTATTCCAGTTTCATTTTAATAATATATTTACTTTATTAACCCTTGTATTAAATGCCGTGAAATGGTGAACAGTTAATGCAGAACTGATAAAATAATGATTTCTGTACAGAATTAACGTTAGTACTTCCAGTTGTATGCTTAATGTACTATAACAATAGTGTAAATAAATTAATTTAAAACTCATATTTTACACTTTTATTGAGCTTTTTATTCATTACGAAGTATCTATTAACGTTTTTAATAGTTAAGGTGCTTTGAGTTAAATATAATAAGCAACCTTTTTTTCTGAAAAAGGATATTTTGGCATCAAACTATTTCTTAGTATTGTTTCCAGATAGGTTGTTTATGTATATTTTATTTTTTTAAATTGACCATGGATAATGGTACAATAGCCAAGAATATGAAACCTTCATGAATATTGTGCCTTTTTTCCAAAAAGTCTCTTCTGGAAGATTTGAAAATGCCTCAAGACTTAATTTATTGACTTTGTTCTTGACACATTTTTTTAAAATCATAATGAGGCTTCGTGATTTAATTTTTATGGGCGTTCAAGACAAAACTTTTATGTAATAATAAAATCTTTGCAACATTCAAAAAATAGAAATCACTAAGCATTGGAATTAAACAGATTCCGAAGTGAATTTCCTTCTGAAAAGTAAGATAACATAGCATTTCTTTACAGAAACAAATGTTCACTACTTTAAGTAGTTCATTTTGACTTTTTATGTTGCGTAAGTTTATGAAAATTTCTTGTACATTTATTTTAAAGTGTATTCCTCTCTAAACTTCTCATCTCTTTATTTGAATTTTCCTCTTCAACTGGATGATGGTTTTATATAGAAAGTATGTTTTCTGATTTTTAATTGATATAAATCTAATTTTTTCTCTCAAGATTTTTACGCTAAGACTATAAATTAAGAATATAAGTTGAGGTAACTAAAAGGTAATGCAATTATTAACCTAATTCCTTTGAGATGTGTAAAACAATGTGGCTATTCTAACATGCTTATTAACAGGATTTTTTTTCTATTATATCTATACAATTATAGGGTTTAAAGTAATTTTACCACCAATATTTGTTTTCAAAATCACAAATAATGTAGAAAAAAGAAACTGGCATCCTAATATTTAAGTAAGTTAATTCTCTAAACTTCCTAGGTTTATACCCTTCTTAAAATATTCCTTGTTCTTTACAACTCTACCAGTATTTGTCTTATTTTCAAAATCAAAAAAAAAAGGAAAAAAAACTGCCATTTTAATAAATAAGTAGTTAATTCTAGTTTCCTGGGTTAAACTTTCTGGGTTTACGCCTTAATTAGAAATTCCTCGTATTTTTAACTCTACCAACATTTGCCTTGTTTTCAAACTCCCAATAATGAAAAAAAGAATCTAGCATCTTAATAAATAATTAGCTAACTCCCATTTATTTCCCCAAAGTTCTTGGGTTTAGTCTCTTATTTCAGAGATGATTGTGCTCCCGAAAAAATTCGGATTTCCGGATTTTTCGCTAACCGCGATCCGGAAATCCAAAGTTCAGAAGTTTACAGAAATCATCGATCACATTTATATATAAAAATTCTTGTATTTTTTTTTAAAAAAAATATTAGAACTAGAATTTATAGTTGGCATCTCCTTCATTTGTAAATATTTTTTTCTGGTAGAATAATAAATGTGATTAGAGATAAAAGTAGACTAATACATAATTATTAATTTAAATTATGCTGCGTATAATTTATTTAGAATTTCACTTTGTGAAAATATCAATGATTTAAATTCATAAAGAGATTAATTTTTTGAAATGCATCATTAATAATTTTACTCAGGAAATTTTCAGAATTTTTGAGTTGGGCTGCTTATTTAAATATTTCTTGTGCTTTTGCGACTCTACTTATAAGTATTAAAATTCAAAAAAAAGGATTGTCTTATAAGCTAAAACAGTCTTCGAAGAACAGAATCGAAATCTAAATATTGACGATTAATCCAATGATGCTGCTCGATTGATAGTAATGCTCGGCACCGCCTCTTTACAAACCTTTCACTCTTATTTAATAAATATTAGAACTCGCTCATAAAACTCAAGTAACGGTCATAAATAATTGTTATGAACTCTTATCAATTATAAAAATAGTTTATTACTCAATTGAACTGTGGGCCAGAAGACCATGATCTTTGGCCAAAAGTCAAAAATTTAGTATTCAACAAAAATATGTGTAGGCAGTTTTAATATACCCCAAATTAAGTATTCATAATCATTCCAAATATTATAATTTACTTCTTGGACCGACGAGAGTACAATGCAATGAAAAATATGTTAAAAAATGTTTTTTTTAAATGTAACTTTTAAATTTTTATTTCAGAATATATAGGAATTTCGCCTTACTGTTTACAATCTTTCAATTTGTTGAATTAGTTGATACTCTTGACAAACTTATAGTTTATATCGTATCATTTGATATTTTACAATGTTTGAATGACTTTCGAAACTTAGTTCCAAAAAGTTCCACGAGGTAATTAGCTAAACTTTTTTTGTTATCTTCTTTGATGTTTCTTCTTTCGAAAAAACCTGCCCCAATTTGCCCGTATTGCAAGGGTGGACTAAATATACCGAAAAACAAAAATTATGTTTTTTTTCTTCATGTTTTCGCGTTATTTTGTAATACGTATTACTTCGGAAATATATTATGTTTTTCATTTTTAATATAAAATTATTATATTTTCATTGCTATATTTAATTATTTAAACGTACTATATTATTTTTTTTAATTTTGCTCGCCTTATTTCAGTCGCCATTTTGTTTTTTGGGTATTTTTAGTGTATTTCAAAATTTTAACTATGAATTCAATTTACCTGCACATAAAAAACCCCAAATTTTGAAACAAATTTTATCGAAATACTAATTTTGGCCACGAAACCTTGGATGCTGGCCCACTGTGAATTGCAGTAAAAATGACACAGTTAGAAAAGCCTTAAATCAAAATCTAAGTATAAACGATTGGTTTATTGATACTCAACTCTTTTTCATTATTAACTTTTCATAGCTATTGTTGTGAAGGGTCGTTTTAGTTGTCCGGAAGCAGGCAATCCTCATACGAAATTTACTGCTGGTGGCTTGTTTTCGAACGCGATAGTTCATTTAAATTAGATTGTTTTAACTGATTGTTAGTTACACCAGTCACGTAGAGAAAGGATTGAAGAGCTCTGGTTGGTTAGCTAAGGGAAAGACAAACGGAAAGATGTTGGCCAAAGCTTCCTTATCCCCATTTCCTGAGTGGTTGATCTCATCGAATTTAGATGAGTGATCCACCCCTTGAATGTGTCCATCGAATATCAAGGATAAATTAAGAGTACAGCTCTGCTCTTGGAAGATAGAATTGATTTATTCCCTCCCCCCTTTTTTCACAAATTGTATTTTTGCCATTTGTACGAATTTCAGCTTTACTTTAAAAAATACTCTCTTTGGTTACGTGGCCAATTCACGCAAAAATAAAATAAAAATTGAAAAAAAGGGAGATTCTACAGTTTAAAATATACATTTTAAATTTAACTTCGAATATATCTGGACATGAGTTTTTAAAAAAATTAAAGTTGTTGTTAAAGTAAGAAACTCATCAATGTTCGAACCAAAGAAAACAAAATTTGAGATTGATGATATTTTTGGCGCAATTTATTTTTTTCAAATTTGAATCGTCTGATCAGAGTCAACTTCAACTGTTGATTATGAATTTGCTCCAACGCATTTTTTTTTTTTTTTGTATGTTTTATTATTTCCTCATTAAATGAGTGTCAAAAAAAAAAAAAACGAAATGCAATTCAAAAATTGCTGAATCGGCAGAAATGATAATTTAATTTCTGAGAGTGTGTAAGATTTTTTTTAAAAAAAAGAAATTAAATTAAATTTATGAAAAATAAGAATTAAAACTTCTGAATACCCTTTTTTCATGAATTGTATTTTGCCATTTGTACGGATTTTAGCTTATCTATGGATCTTGTTTTCAATAGAAATGTAAACAATAACAATCTCGAGCTCGGCACCTACTCTAGCTCCGGTTAAAAAGTTTGCAGCTGCTTACTGCATGTTATTCTGATAGGCGATGCTTTCAAACGGATAATTTTGTTTTCAATAAAAGAAATAAATTAGATAATTTCTGAGCTCAGATCTGCCATATTTCATAAGATATTAATGTTAATATGTAATTCTGGTGAGTTTGAAGTGAAAATTTGTTTCAGTTTTTTAGAGATAATATTGTTAAAAAAGATGACATGGTTGCTAGATTTTGAATAACTTGCTTTTTTGGCAGTCTTGATATGGCCTCTTTCTATAAGTTTATTACTGTTTGTTCTTGTTGCAAGCTGTGCACCATCTTACGTTAGTGTTAACACTTTTAGCATTGTAAACACAAGTAATAAGTAATCAAATACATTGTTTGCAAGAACCTCAAAACACAAATGATGCCAAAATGGCTTTAAAATACAACGGAAACAGTAACCCGGAAATTTAGGCGGTACCGAGCTTGCAGCGTTCTCTAGTGTAGAAAACACCATCCATAAAGAATACTCTCTGTGGTTACGTTGCCAATTCACAGAAAAATAAAATTTGGAATAAAAACTGCATATGTACTTCAAAATTGTTTTTTTAATAAATAATTTATTAATTGTATAACAATAGTTTAAAAAAACTGTTTACAGTACATTGCGTTATAACATCAATTTATGAAATAAAATTATATCATTTCATCACAAACGCTCCTTTCTGTATCGAATACGAAATATGATATAACAAATCAATTGATGGGCAATCAGACCCTTTACGCGAATGCACCCGATTACCTAAAGACCCATTATAATTTTCCTCATTGCTCGCGAATCCATCTTAAGAGTAATTCAGATATTAAATATCATATCATTGGGCATTTCGACTTATTCACTATCGCTTAATCGCATACTACATTTTGTTATACAAATTAAATTTCGCCGCTTATCTTTCGAAATGGTTAATATCACTATGAGGATTGAGGTATCCAAACGAAGGTCAGTTTTCATTGTTTAAAATTCATCGTATCAAATTTAGGTTCGTCCCATCTGAATAATTGCAGCGATAACATCGATATTGTTCTGAAATTGTATCTAATAATTACCTTAGAGAAGGCAGAGATGGTAATTGTATTGAGTAGCCTCTACGTTTA